TGAGAACTCTATGAGCGGTAGTGTAACTGCAAAGTGACTGTAACTGCATCGACATTAATCGCAAGCTTTCCTATGTGAGCCCCTCCCCTCCTCCTCCTCCCCTCCCCTCACGATGCCGAACTGCGCCGGCTTTCCTACCCAAATTTTGTGGATCCACCACTTTTGCCCTTTAAACTTATTTATTTATTTAAATCTCCTTTTGCAGAAATTATTTTTTTCCCTGATGAACAAACCCTGCAATGGCCACGAAAACTAATCAATTAAGGACGCCTGCAATAAAATTCTCAAACGTTTGGAACCGTTCAAGAAGGCCAATCCCAAGGGGACATGGGTTGATTGGGTCCGACAAGCCTACGTGGCGCGGGTCTCCTTATCAGCTACTGGATTTGGAATGTATGTGAGAGTTTACCAAGCTTACCGAGATCGCGGTCATCTTTCCCTCAACTATGTTTTCTTTTCAGAATTCACAGTGAAGCTGTTGATTTCTTTAATGGCAAAGGAGCCGAAATGTTTGGTTATTGTGTTTATGGAAGTGCATGTTGTGAAGTCGAAGTGGACTGTCTGACCGGCGATCATCACGTGAGTGGAAACTCCGTCGAAACTTTCTGGTTACTTTCGGGTTATCCTTTATCAGGTTGTGTAATTGGTATTGCATTAGTTTCAATTAACGGACTCGGCACTAGGGCCATGTTTGAGTCCGGTCCGGATTTCGTGAGTTTAGATTCTGAGGGTTTAGCTGAACACGTTTGGGTATCGTCCACGCTCGAAAAACCAGCACTTATTTCCCTCACACGATTTGGAAGTCTTGTGTGTGCAACGCCGGTCAGGTTCAGATTTCCTAATGGCGCCGTCAATACGCTACAATTGAGCAGTGCAATGAGACACGCGTTCGGCAGGCGCTGACGGTAATCGATGCAGTAGCCAAGCACCGTAAGAATGCATGGGGGTATAGAAGGTTGCCTCCATCACCTCAATGCTTGCCTGCATACACGCAATCTGTTATACTGATCGGCAGTTAAGCAGCCTAATCTGCTCTGGAGAGTATAGGAGAACAGGACCGGTACGGGTACGTTTGCTGTGGAAGACACGCCACCCTCCTATCATGCCTATTACTCTCTCGAATGCAAGCGGGGCTGGCGCCATCGATTGCTCTTCTATGGCTGCCCGCTCACGTCTGAAGTATTGCGAGCGCTGTTCGCAATGTAGCAGCATCGATAAGCGTTCATCGCGAAGTCTGTGCGCTACTTGACTTCCGAGTCGCGACATTCCCTAGCTAGACAACGTGAGAAGCAGAAAGAATCGATATTGCCGCAGCGCTGCCTCGCTGAGCGGATAAGGCTCCAGTGCAAAGGCACTCACCTCGCTTGCTTTTTCTTCGCCAAACCGGACATAACGCTACACATCTCTGCACTTCCACAACGATGATCAGGTCCTGCGTGCGAATGTGCCGTACGTAACCTCGCCTTGTGAAGCTCTTTTCGCAATTCGAAAGCGCTGTGCTTTACTCCCGAGTCAGCTTACAAACATTGTCCCAAAATATTGTTCTTCCACCAGCGAATGTGGTAGTAACGTTCGCCCTCGCCAGTACTGCAATTAAGGCATAATTTTTTTCAACTCCCAAATGCGGATAATCGTGCGTTGAGGCTTTATCAGTCTCGGAGCATATGATATTATGGTTCTATGCCCTAGTGCGTCTAATTTGTTGAAAACTAGTCTCACCCGAGGAAATCTCAAAAGCCCCACTGCAGGTATTCTGGTCCGATGGACAGCTTCTCAAAGTTCACCGTCTGGGCACGCTTTAGTGTGTGCGGGTGTTAAACTGCTTTACCAATTAGCAGCTATTACACTGCATTGTATTACTATGTTTAGCTGCTACGGACTGATATTGTAATGGACGTAGGGGACTCGTTGAATCCAGCAATAGACATCGGTCAAATAGAGGGAGCATTCGTACAGGTACAGGAAATGTGCTGAAATGTCGATTAATGCATTAGGAACTGTAAGTCTTCAGGGGTATGGTCTCTTCACCATGGAGGAGATCAAAGTGCGACCTGACGGTGTGCGGCTCACCCGAGGACCAGGCGTATACAAAATCCCATCGGCAGACGATGCCCCACGGCATTTCAACGTCCGACTATTGAAAGGATCCAGCAACCGAATGGGAATATTTTCTTCTAAGGTTCGTTACAGATGCCTAAATTGTGTACTCCTGAGAGAAGTAGAGTCCTTTCGCTGCCATGGGTTTCCACCATTTCAGGCCATTGGCGAACCACCGCTTTTCCTTGGTGCCTGTGCTTTCTTCGCCATTCGAGAAGCTGTGCGATCATTCCGACTGGAACACGGCCTCAAAGGATACTTCCGATTCGACTCACCTGCAACTCCAGAACAAATACGACTTGCGTGTGAGGACGAGATCCTGAGCAAGGTCAGTTCTTTTGTGCCATGCGAAGGAATTTTTGCTAGAATTCGATCTTACGACTTCTCAGGTACCGAAGTTACCAGCGAAAGGCACCTACACACCATGGACTGTTACCCTATAACGCACTCACCGGTTGCCTATATTGAAATGCTCTGCACTTATACTTAGCTTTGTGATGTTAGATTTTATTAGAGACAAGTGGTACGAGTATTAAAGAAGAGATGACTATTTCGTACAAAACTTCCCTTATTGTGAGCGTACAAAACTGTCTGATCTTGCGTGCTGGCATCCGTTTTTTATCCTGACCGCCCCTGTGACCTCATCGATTTCACGAAGTATTCTAATATAGTATGTGATAAAAAATGGTTCCTCTGTGCGTGTGAGTGTGTTTATTGGATACAGTGTTCTGGAAAACATTTAATTACCGGTCATACGGCCGGATTCTGCCACATCATACAGCTGGAGACGATTTGTGATGAAGCATGTTCAGTCAGCTGAGCGAGTCTTTACAAGTACCGCTGCTTTCCTTGGCATAGGACGTAGTCCATGATCACACATGCATTATAATGATGATTGCTGGTTTACGCCACAGTCCGTGCTAGAGAAGCTACCACGAAAGCTGGGCAGAAGTCTTGACTGCGGACGAGACTCGAACGCGAACCTCGTGCTTTTCGAGCAGACCTTCTTCAGTCTGGCTGCGACTGGAAATGGCTTCATATTTTGGTGTACATGAAGGTGATGGACGAGGGGCTCCTGCTTATCGAGGAACATCTTGGGTATCTTCCGCCCTGGTACTCGTATCCACGTCTTCTGTCTGGGCCGCGTAAACTTTACTGAACAGTCACTACTTTTTACTGATATGTGACTCGGCCACAGTGTTCTTTTTTGCCCCTTCCCCCTCCTGTATGGCCCTATGATACTCTGCAAAAAACATGTTCACATGAATTTGTATGTGGACGACAGCTTTAATTGATGCTTACAAAAAATAAAAAGAGCAGTACGAATCACATGGGTGATCCGCTTTCAGCCACGTCAAAGTGAGAATGAAAGGGGAAACAATGAGCCCAAGACTGGAGACGAGTCTCGGACCTGAGATCAGACAGGAATCGAAAGGTTACAAAAGCAAAACGCATAAACTCCTCACAAGCATTGTCTTTCAGAACTGCACGCAGATGTAGCGGAGGTTCTTCACCTGTTATGAAATACGAGATGACGTGTCAAGGTGGCGTTCAACTTCGCGGTGACACGCGATAACGCGCTGTAGCGCGCGTCGACGCATTACAGTTGCACCAACGCTCCAATACTATAGAACGCAGCCGCAGACGAAAATCGATCGGAGCCTGCCGCTTGTATTCAAAAGAAAGTATAGGATAAGGTGCTGAGTGTAGGTGCTGCCTTCACACTAAATGGTATCCTCCGTATTCACAAAGTGTTGGGAGCCCATTGACGATCGA